GAAGTTAGAGGTGGATGACTTTAACTTATCATAGAAGTAGAAGCAGGAAAAAACAGCTGGTCCGAATCTTTCCAAAGTTCAAAAATATACTTGCTTGCCAGCACCTCTGATACAGATGTACAACCCACTGGCAGGCCAAGTTAGTGACGCTGATCATCTCATAAACTGCTCAGGAACATCTTGAGGAACTCGACCAGGAGCACATGGACCCTGTGTCATGGCTCTAACGGGTCCGAACCATTTCAGAGGCGTCCTACACAATGTCAGGCAGGTGGTTTTATTTTGGTTTCCAGCTGGTTTGTGTCTCTCTTTGTTTAATCTGAACTCAAGCCGCAATGTAGACACAACAAGTTATGGTTTTACCTGTGAGTCATGTGCGGTAATTTGTTGGCGAGTCTCGGTGCAGCGACTTCCTCCTGGTTAAGCCGCAACTTGTTATATTTCTCATTGTGTACAGAGATCGGGTACAGTGAGTTCATTTAGACTCTCAGAAGTGCCGGTAAGTATTTTTGAACAGACTGACTGTTGTTATTTTAGGTTGAGCTAATAGCAGCAGAGCTCCAGCACCATCCCAGTGGCATCTTCTTATGAGTGTATTTCCAAAACTATTTCTTTGAGGTTTTGAAACATTGCCAGTGTGATTAAAGGAAAGCCAGTTTGATTGTCTGTCGGAGATGGATTTAGACAGAGAAGTTCTTAAAAAGTACTTTTAGGGACACATCCTTGCATGCTTGGCTGCAGACAAGCTGCAGCAAGGTGGGGCCACACCTCCACTACGAGAATGTGAATATGGGTAGATCGGGGAATTCAGACAACATGCCGGGGATGCCTGGGCAGGTATGTGGGATTTTCTGCTCCCCTCAAACCCCCCTTTTTTTCTTTCACTAGAGACACACTCTGATAGCGAGGAATGGGATAAGCTGAGGCCGATGGGGGCATGAAAAGAAGTGGAACCGGTGTCTGGGTGGCGCACCTTTCTTTATCTCCTTACAGATACAAAACACGGCTCACTCATGTCCCTTTGAGGGGGATGCCACTGAACAAAGCGTGGCCGAAACACCTTTATGACTTGGCTGCAGAACGGAGCAAAGAGTGACCACAGTTCAGAGGGATCCCATCAACAGGTGGACGGACTAGAGGCTCGGTTTCCCAGCAGATGTCACTCACATTCTTGGAGAGCAGATTAGGTTTTGTCAGGAAAAAAAAAAAAGCTTTCCACGAACTGAAGATGATTTTGCTGTTTCTGTCCCTGTAACGATGACAAAGACCTTCCTGCAGAACTGGGTGATACACATCAGATTCTGAGGTCTTTAAAGACAGACACTCGTCCCCGTCATCAATTTACCAGCTGGTTGTAAATTCAGCACTTTAACACAAAGTCAAGGTCGTGTTTTGCTTTCTAACATTTTACTTGGCTTCAGAGGGGAATCTGGGCTGAGTTGCACCACACAGGAATGCTCCCGCGAAGATAAATTTGTGCTGACAATAGAGTGTATGTGCACTTTGAGGTGGACTGTTTTCACGCTTTATCTCACAATGCTGCAGGCATTATTTCAAAGAAAATGCATTTTAGCGTGTCTCATCTCGCAAAGGTGCGCTGCTTCTCCTGCAGGGTTGCCACTCAGATTAAAACAGATGAATATATAGCTTTTACAGGGTCATTATATTTTAGCTGACGGAGGATAAAACGGAGCTCTTATATGCTGTCGATGTTTGGAAATTCATGTAAGCAACGTTTAAGTGTCAGGCAGTTACATGTAGTCCTAATTGCTACTTGAACTCTGTCTGTTTAGTCATATTTTCCTCATTACAAGCCAAGCAGATCCCCTGCAGTGGAATTTTATTTCGTTAAAGCACAAGGCTGCATGCAAAAAGGAATGCTGTAACGAGGCCGTACGCTTTGGCCTGGTCTTGCTTCTTAATTCCTGAGAAATGTGCAGACCTCCATGAAATATTTTCTCTTCTTCTGTTTCATATAATTTTCATCAGCCAACATCTTTTCCATTTTCTGTCTCTCATTGCAGTTAGTTTTGGAGAGCGAGGCAATAGCAGTGTGTTTTAAGATGTTTGTTGAATGAAGAAAAGTTGTCCAAACCACAATTAGATATAATTCCGAGCTTGTAAATTGTCAGAAAAATGATAATTGTGCTGTTTTGAAAGAATGTGACAGATTTTTTTTGTGTTATTTTTGTGCGAATGCTGCAAAATGCTGGAAAACTACCTCAAATTAAAAAGTTTGTCAGCATTCAGTCGTTATAAAGAGCTGACCTTGGGCTTTTTTTGTTTTTTTAAAGATATTGATCGAGTCGCCCTGAGTCAAATACCACCCTGAGAGAAACACGGCAGGCTGTCGGACACTTAAAGTTCTTAACTGATAATGTTTGACGAATGTTATTTGTAATGCGATAGGTTATCTGTCTGTCTGCCTGTCGGGCCGTGACCTAACTGTCAGACTCGTGACAGCCGGCCACCACCGGCGGCAGGCTCCCATTCTGATGCCCCCCGAGTGTGAATCTGAGTGCGGAGGTGATAAATGGGGGACATCAGCTGGTGACATCTGATGTCCCTGAAGCTCCAGTATCGTTGGACGGCTGGGCCTGCCGGGAGCAGAGCTGGCCGAGTGTGCGGCTGACAAGCAGACAAGGATGGAAGATGAGACGGGATGCTCATGGAGGAAGAGTCGTGCTGTACTTTCTGTTTTCTCCAAGTGTTTCTGAGATGTTTGCGTGGGTGTGGACGCTTTGCAGAGTATCCAGAGGCATGTCATCAGGTTGCAGCCAACACCTGCACCACAGGGTAGAAATCTATATCCACTAAAGTTAAAATCCCCAAGATTTCAGCTGCAGTTTGGTAGTGCTGCCAGAATAAGCAAAAAAAAAACAAACCCTCATGTTTCAGTTAAGGGCTGCAACGTGGCTTTGTGATTAGCATCGTTGCCTTGCAGCTAGAAGGTCGCCGGTTCGCATCCCGGTGAGGACACCTGGGATCTTTCTGCGTGGAGTCTCTTTGTTCTCCCCGTGCAGCGTTGGTTCTCTCCGGGTTCTCTGGCTTCCTCCCACAGTCCAGAAACATGTTGAGGTTAATTGGTGATTCTAAATTGTCTGTAGGTGTGAATGTGAGTGTGCTTGGTTGTCTGTCTCTAAGTGTAGCCCTGTGATAGACTGGCGACCTGTCCAGGTGAACCTGCCTTCACCCTGAGTCAGCTGGAATAGACTCCAGCCCCCCCACGACCCTAGTGAGGATGAAGCGGTGTATAGATAATGGATGGATGGATGTTTCAGTTGAGAAATGTATTAATAATCAGTCTTTTTCAAGTGGTTTCCTCACACAGTATCAGTGAAGTTGATCAACTTGCCGAGGAGTTGGAGAACTCTATGTGTCCCTGGAATATTTAAAACTAATCTGCCCTCAAAAAACTCTCGCATTAAAGAATGATTGCAGTCGTTGCTGACGTCTGTGACAAACACGTTGTGGTACCTTCAACTGCTTCACGGTAGAAGCTGCCATTGTTTTATCAAACACATTCAATGTGAGTCAGCAGCAGTCCAGTTTATTAATGAGCAGTGAGGCTAATTGTGATGAGCAGTAAAACTATAAACTGTTATGCTCGGTTACACACTACAATATTTTGAGGTATTCATTGTGCAAACACATCCAAACATCCCATAAATCACCACAAGTTTTTACATTTCCGTCCATGGAAATAGGAGCGAGTATTAAAGCATATGACTCTGGAGGCAACTTATGAGAATTACACGGGTGACAGCCGTGTCTATTTCTGTTTACTACCTGCTTGCCGTGATGCTGCACCGTGACAACAGCATTTCACAGTTCCTGAAGGAGCTCAGCACATGAGAAGCTTTCTAGGAGAGGATTCATGTCAGTGCTTTAACTGTGCAGGTGGAGAGCATCGTGCTGTCCTTCACTCCCAGTAAAGTTAAAAGACTTTGCTGCTTCCCCTCCAGTTAAAGAAAGTTGTTGGGAGTTCTTTTTCATCACCGGTGACTCTCAGACTCGGCTACACAGAACAGTGGAGGCGTTTGTCTCGTCTCATTGAAGTGGAACGTGAACAGGTCCTCCATCGGGTCCTCAGGTTTTTCTCTACAAATAGAGCAGCACAAGTGCAGGCTCAACTTTCTCAATCTCCACTTTCCCAAGCACAGTCTGAAAGAGAAAATGAGAAACGGGGAGAAATTCTATCAGATTCAGGGAGGGTTAATGGGAGAACCGGGAGAAAAGCTGCTTTCTGTGCACCAGACCTCCACTTATCTCCCCTCACGCCCAGAGTGTAACTCAAACTCACACACCAGCGATCCGCCCCGAGCACTACGTGAGCCGTTTTATTTCAAAATAGTTCCAACAGTGATATGGAGGAAAGTACGTGGCGATGTTTGATATAATCTGATGTGCACTCGGCCTCTTTTTTTTCTCCTGCTGTTGACACGGGGAATTCACGAGAAGAGATTATAGTGAAGGCTATCATCTTCCTCACAGCTTGATAGAATTGAAAACAGGTGAATAAGACCCAGGGTCGGACTGTCAGGCTTTGAACATTATCAGCTATCGGGCCTTTTGTAATAGAAGGAATGCTATGTGACTTTTTACTGTTGCCATAACCAGTGGGTGATCTATCGCTTGTCTGTCGCCGTTTGGTTCGGACTCCGGTTGCTGTACGTCTTCCTGCTTTTGTCAAGAACCAGATTCATCCTGTGCATAACCCCGGGATGGCAGGATGGAACTGTAGTGCTGTGAGGAGACAAAAACAGCTTCTGTAAATTAATTTAGGAGAGTCTGATGGTAGGTTTGGCACCGCTAGCGTACTCTCAGACTATTAACATTAGCCTACTCTGAGGGGATGTCTGTGCCAAAGCGAGCAGCCTACACACATTTCCTGCGACTGTGTCTGTGGTTTGGGTTTCCCAATTTTCATTGTGTGCTTTTCTACTCCAGTAATTACAGGCGCAGTATGAATAAAACCCTTTATTTTCCACTCTTTGCAGAGTTAAAGTCGACCGGCACCGCTCACCACTTCTCCTTTCTGCTGAACTCCACCGACTATCGGATCCTCCGCATGGACGAGGACCACGACCGCATGTATGTGGGCAGCAAAGATTACATCCTCTCTCTGGATCTGCACGACATCAACAAGGAGCCGCTCATAGTAAGAAACGTTCCACGCAGACATGAAACTGGATGAGCTCAACATGAGTTTACAGCTAACACATTTCTTATTTCCCCGTCAGATCCACTGGCCTGTCGCCCCACAGAGGAAGACTGAATGTGTCTTGTCGGGGAAAGACACCAATGTGAGTATTCAATNCTGCTGTTGACACGGGGAATTCACGAGAAGAGATTATAGTGAAGGCTATCATCTTCCTCACAGCTTGACAGAATTGAAAACAGGTGAATAAGACCCAGGGTCGGACTGTCAGGCTTTGAACATTATCAGCTATCGGGCCTTTTGTAATAGAAGGAATGCTATGTGACTTTTTGCTGTTGCCATAACCAGTGGGTGATCTATCGCTTGTCTGTCGCCGTTTGGTTCGGACTCCGGTTGCTGTACGTCTTCCTGCTTTTGTCAAGAACCAGATTCATCCTGTGCATAACCCCGGGATGGCAGGATGGAACTGTAGTGCTGTGAGGAGACAAAAACAGCTTCTGTAAATTAATTTAGGAGAGTCTGATGGTAGGTTTGGCACCGCTAGCGTACTCTCAGACTATTAACATTAGCCTACTCTGAGGGGATGTCTGTGCCAAAGCGAGCAGCCTACACACATTTCCTGCGACTGTGTCTGTGGTTTGGGTTTCCCAATTTTCATTGTGTGCTTTTCTACTCCAGTAATTACAGGCGCAGTATGAATAAAACCCTTTATTTTCCACTCTTTGCAGAGTTAAAGTCGACCGGCACCGCTCACCACTTCTCCTTTCTGCTGAACTCCACCGACTATCGGATCCTCCGCATGGACGAGGACCACGACCGCATGTATGTGGGCAGCAAAGATTACATCCTCTCTCTGGATCTGCACGACATCAACAAGGAGCCGCTCATCGTAAGAAAAGCTCCACGCAGACATGAAACTGGATGAGCTCAACATGAGTTTACAGCTAACACATTTCTTATTTCCCCGTCAGATCCACTGGCCTGTCGCCCCACAGAGGAAGACTGAATGTGTCTTGTCGGGGAAAGACACCAATGTGAGTATTCAATGAACCAACAAAACAATACTTCTAGTAACTGTTTTAGTCCTTATTAGCTAAAATCCAAAGAATATCTGCTTTCAGTTGCTCAGATATAAAGATTTACTGCTGTTTTATATGATTGTAAATCGAGCACCGTCGGTCAAATAAACCAACCTTAAAGATATATTATCACACAAGCCTTTTTAAGCAGTTTGTCAGCCTTCAAGACAAACTACTATCAGCGTAATACATCCCCATCGCACCAGCCGATACAAGCACGGTTCTGCACCTGAATCCCTTTTCACCTGCCGCACATTTAATCTGGTGTTAGCTTCTGAGTGTGTTTTCTACAATTTTGAACACCACACTGGGGTCAATAGAGGGCATTGTAAAGCTCCTCCTGACGCGTGATTGGCTGCGAAGCTCTTATTTACTGTCTCTGCATCCCTGATTGCTGATTGCATACAGCTGCCACCAATTAAGCTCTAGCAGCAACTTGAAACGTGCGACATTTAGGCGTCTTCACACGAGAGCTGCAAACATATTCCGTGCCCCAACCAACATCCATATAATAGATTTTTTTTTTTTTTTTTTGCACAGTCTAATTTTCTTTTTTGCACAATAATTACTTTAACCTTTGTTGTCCAGACAAGCAGACGAAATGAACCGGCCACTGGAAGCTACAGAAGCCCGTCTGAAGTGTTAATAAGACTCCAAACAGTGCAGCCCCCACAAGGAAGAGATGGAAACTCATCATTGAAATTCATATAAAAACCAGATCCTTCTCTTTTGATTGTGTTCACACATCCTGCCCGCCCCTCCACCTCCACCCTAAAACACACACACACACACACACACACACACACACACACACACACACACTTGTCTGAGCCATGGTTAGGGGTGAGGGCTGGCAGGAGCGGTGTGCACCGACAGAGTGATGAGGCTCTGGCTAATAACCTTGCTCTCCCCTGCTGGTAGAGAGCTCAGGCTGCTGTTTATCCAACTGGAATGTTCATTTATGCGTGTTTGGTGACCCGCGCCTCTCACCGCCTCCGGCTACAAACGTATTGGCCCACGTATGTTCATGTGAGCATGTATGAGCCCCACTGTATGCGTGCATATGTGTGTCAGAGGTGGGTTTGAAATTTCATCGCTAGAATAAGAAATAAAATTGGCGAGATATCTTGGCAATCCGGGAGCACTTTTTTTTTTTTTTTAGCGAATGACAGATGATGACAATTCGACAGCAATTCAGAGGGGATGTCGGTTCAGGCGGGAGGTCAAAGGCAATCATCCCCACTGTGCTCTCTGTGGGGGAGCACCACTGTGCGCTGAATAATACACGCAGGCCCTAAACACACACACAAAAACACATCCTCTGAAACCTCTGACTCGTGCATCTGTCGCGTTGCTAAGATCTGCCAAAATGCTTCATCCCCCATCCTGCGTACAATCTTTTTTTTTTTCGTACATCCTTTCTTTTTCGCCAGCTGTCGCGAGCAGAAAACATGACAGACAAATCCGAACAGATATCATCGGATTGCACATTTCTGCAGTCGGGAGTTTTGATTTGGGTGGATTGAGACCAGGAAGGCAGACAGCTGGTCAGAAAAACGCAGATTAGAAAGACCTCGAAAGCATAAAGCCGCTTTCACCAGCAGCTCCTCTGTGCCTTCGGTCCAAAAAGAAAAGAAAAAAAAATGTACCACTTAAAGAATTCTCACAGAAACCCTGTCGACGGTGAGATGTTCACATTCGTGTGTTTGTGTGTTCTTCTAAAAAAAAAAATAAAAACCCTAATTGGATTTTAAAATCCTCGTTCTCACCAAAAACCTACATTTTCATTCAACAGTCTTGTTTGGTCTAACCAGAATGTTTTTCATTTGTCAAGTTTGACAGAACACTGAATTGTGTTTAACCTCAATCCCTGTGGCAAACACACGTCACGATCTCAGAGGCCCTGCTTTTCTTGGTTTCTGCCACCACACTTATATGGTGTTTGGAAACATTTTCCCTCCGACAGTGTGGTCTGATCTGAAGCCTGGGCCAGGCCGTCACACGGAGCCAGAGAGCAGAGCTGCCAAACGCAAGCCTGCCAACAGAGGAAGTGATAGATGGGATGGTTTCAGGCCAGGCAGAGGAGTTATTAACCATGCGTATTATGCAACCCTTTCTTTTCCACTGCATTTTCAGGATCAGAATTAGGGAAGTTGCTAATCCTGCTGTTGATCCCTCTCTCTCAGGGGGAATGCGGAAACTTCATCCGTCTGATTGAGCCGTGGAACCGGACCCACCTGTATGTGTGTGGAACAGGCGCCTACAACCCCATCTGCACCTACGTGGACCGAGGACGGAGGTCACAGGTAACCAAAGACACGAGCAGGCAGCCGTGGAGACACTCTGACCTTTACTCTCTTCGTCCTAAAGAACCGTATCAGTCAATCTCCCTCTGCTGCTGCTTCTCACTTTCATGGGCTCTGCTTCTTCGTCCATCGTTTTCTTAGTTTTCATCGATTTTTCATGGTCTGAAGGACTCGCAGAAAAAGATCTGGGTCCAGATCTCCATTATTACTGTAAGATTGCTGTTGGTCAGGTTCCTGCCACCGTTTAGGCATCGCCGAGGCTCCAATCTTCTCTTAGCAGTGGTAATAGCACAGTGGCATTATATCTATGGAAGAAAATCCCCCTCCCTGTCGTCCTCCCTCCCCCTCCTCCTCACCTGTTTCTACACGGCCGAGCTGGTGGCCCGTCTTTCTGTCTGGCTGAGAGCCTCTGAAAGGCCATCATTACTGATGGAGCCTCTCATCCATCATCAGCCTTGTAGCTCACCCCTCCCTCCCTCCCTCCCTCCGTCCCTCCTTCGCTCGCTCGATGGCCGTGCAGAGCTACGGCAGCTGTTACAGTCGACACACTTGCATTCACCGCTGTGCCTGTTTAGTCTCACTGTCCAAATGGACGGTTCAGATTTCAATGCAAAGGTCAGTCTGCCTCTTGTCATTCAGCTTCTCCCTTAAGGCCCAAACGCTATGTTGCTTCACGCTGTAAAGATTTTTCTCAGTAAGACTAGATGTAAACATAAACCAGTTGTTCAGAGATTCTTCGCGGAGGGCTTCACACATTTTTAGTCCTCAGTCAGCTCCCAAACTTTGTCAGAAAACTTTTTCCTTTACCTGCGTCTGTGCCTTTTTGATGCAGCTTCCCTTCCAGATTTTATGTCAACCTGCTGAGTTTTACATCAGAAACCCGCCCTTGTTGTTAGAAAATAGAACATTTAGTTCAGGAGGGCGCTTCAGTCGTGAATGTTGGAGATTGATGATAACAATGATGTGAAATTATATCTGATTGTTTTAAATCTACATGTTTATTGCTTCACTTTTTATGTAGTCTTTTTTTTTTTTACTGAGAGTTGTCTCGTTTTCCTTTTCTTTCTTCGCCCTGCATGGTTTATGCATGGAGTGTTTGCATGAGTCTAATCCAGCACCGTCACTGTCACCGTCTTCACTCTGCTTTGACTTCCACTTCGACATTTCTCCTTCCATCTTCTCTGTCGAGTCAACCTTTTCGATCCTACTTTTTGCACTTCCTCATTTTCCGATTCTGTTCATGTCGTGGTCGCCATCAACTGATTTGATCTGGACTGTCGACTGTCGGTAACGAGGCGGCCCACTGTGCCATGTCTGTGTTTTTAGGGGTTCCACTACCTACAGGCCCCCCAGTCAGGAGGGAGAACAAGTCGGGCAGCAGACTACAGCACTACATCAGAGCCTTTGGAGGCCAAGGTGGGCTGAAGGGAGTTTTTGTAGTTTGTGCCCACCTGGAGTATTTTTTTTTAGTCAAAGTTGGATGAGTGGTGACAACGTGACTACAAAGAAATCAATGCAATGTTTATTTTTTTTATGCATATATTGGGGTAATAAGGCAACTACTGAGTCTCCAACAACTTTTATTGTCAAGATGTTTGCTATAAATGTAATTGTTGTGTGGAAAAAATGCTTCTCATGAGTAGAAATGAACAAAAAAAAATAAAATGTACCATTTTCATGCCAGGAGATCCTTAAGTGCCTCTCAGGAAAGAAAGAAATAAACTCCTACACATGTCGATCCTCTCTTTTCCCACAAACAGTTTGGCCCCTAGACCTTCATTAGGTAATATTCAGCAGCAATAAGTGACATTTAATACAACATAAGAAGTCTTCAGTCAAATATGCAGAGTTGTTGAACCAAACAGCTGTTTTCATTTTGTCCGAATGGCAGCGTTTTCAACACCGCCACCGCTGTATTTTGTCACTAAAACACAGCTTTGTCGTTACACACATCCTACCTGTCAGACATCATTGGACCGACGTAGCTCACAAACCTCCATGCAGACACCAGTGTTGACACAGATGTTGTGAAATAACGAGTTCTGGTGTGAGCCACTAACATCAGAAGCATGGTGGATGAGTTCTGGATTGCTCTCAGCATTTTCCTCCACCTCTCCATCTCACCGATAACTGGCCTCGTGTGCTTTTTTTGTTCCCCTCAGCAGAGCCAGCGGTGCAGCGTTCAGTGCCTGTACAACTCACACCTCACTGTGTTAGCTTTATTAGCTTCATGTTACTGTTGCCATTTAAAACTGCATCCAAAGAACCCTGTGAAGTAAACGATCAAACAATAAGCAAAACGTTCCTTAAACACAGTGAGTCTGTTATCAAGTGATTGCTGTTTTTCCTTCGCAATTACAGGAATACATTTTCCGTCTTGAACCCGGCAAAGTGGATTCTGGGAAAGGAAAATGTCCTTATGACCCCAAACTTAACAGCGTCTCCGCTTTGATCAGTAAGTAACTGCTGTTTTTCCCTCATGCTAACGTGTGCAGGCAGCTTCAAATAGCTACCTGTGGAAAGCGTATAAGATGTGCTGTATGCGTTTAGTTTTCAGTCGGTTCATTTTGTGTCTGATTGTGTGCAACCGCATCGGCGCGGCAGAACTTTGTCGTTGCGTCTAGGTGTCCTTTATTCACTTGACAATCACACAAAGTCGGCAGATCATCCCATTAAATAGAATAGAATAGAAAAAAAAGGTCTTTATTGTCATTATACAAGTACAATGAAATTTAAAGAGCTGCTCCTGAGGTGTACCAGCAATATACACCATTAGACAAACAAGACATCTGTTGTTATTCTTTGCACAACCCTATAAAACACTTACCATAGCAGAGTGGTAGTTGCACGGAGTGAAGGGGTTATTATTGCACCCGTGTGAGGTAGATTTATATACATAGAAGTGACTCCAGTGCAGGTTGCATTCACCGTTCAGTGCAGGTTTAAGTTGAAAATTAAATAATATCTGACTTTTTTGGTGATAAATTGACTGAAACAATGAATCAATTAGCGATTTAATTTACTGATGATCCTCTAACTAGTGGTTTTAGGTCGAGTACGGTTGTAGTTTTATCAACGTACTAGCGCATCATTTGGTCAGACGGATGTGTGCATGTCGGTGGGTGGTCTTCTGTTGTCAGCAGCTTACAGGTGGTCAGACATGGCTGCTGATCAGTGACCTCCTGCCCTGTGTGTGTGTCAGAGAAAGCCTTTATTTTGCTGCACCATGTCAACTCAGTTACAGCTGACCAGAGCGAAACTGTAGAAAATCCGTCACATGTTGACTTACATAATTGGCACAGACGTACTGACATAACAGAGGAGGCTGGACTTTCCCTGGTTCAGGCATTGGGAATATTTTGTACACTATTATTTCATGAGCCACATCTCTCTCAGCTTCTGGAAATAACAGCAGAAAGTATTCATGTATTTAAAATGTCTTATCAGTATGTTTCTATGGAGGCCGATGTCAGACGTGACAGGACAGGGTCTAACCATGTCCACGACCTCGAACCTGTACACCGTGAATCCAGCTCATGTGAAACTGTCTTTGTGAATGCAGCCGTCCTTAATAATGAGTTCAGTTTCATTACAGTTGTGAGGTCAACGTTTTTTGCTCAGACACCTGTGAACCTCATTGATTGGATGACGTCTTGTCTGGTCATTATATGGAGTTCAGATTTCTACCTTTGAATATCCACAGCTGCTGTACGTGCTATCAGCCAGGTTTTGATGAGACCAGGGGAAATGATGCAACTTTTTAATGACGCTTGACTCTCTAGCCAGCATGTTTTGCGCTCTACCCTGAAAATGTTTTCCCCCATCATGACTTCACCTCTGCAACAACCTTCCCCTGCTCTGTGACTGACAGACGGAGAGCTGTACGCCGGAGTCTACATCGATTTCATGGGAACAGACTCTGCTATCTTCCGTACTCTGGGGAAGCAGACAGCCATGAGGACTGATCAGTACAACTCCAGATGGTTAAACGGTAATGTCTCAACTCACAGCTTGTTCTGCATCCAGCAGCATTTTCTTTTCTCTCATCTCTCTCCAGGCCGTTTTTTAATTTATTCCTCGAGACCGTAATGTTTCACGCGAGCCGCCCCAGCCTTAACGCCGTCCTGCACATCGTCTATTCCTAGAGCCGTGTCAGCTAAGAATGTTGATCTTTCCAGCCTGCTCCACATGACCCAGTGATCATTTGACTCAAAGCATAAAATTTACTACACTGATTGTTAGCTGCATGCCTGCAGAGTCTGACAGCAGGGTCAGTGGTGCAGTAGCAGGGGGAAATTAGTGAATGTCAATAATGACTCGGAGTAGCCTCGGCTCTCTAATGAACCACAGTTGTCACAGTCATATAAATGCGGGTCGGGTGCTTTCAGTTGATGTTGCCAAATCAATCACGAAATCCCCCCAGTGTTGCTGGCTCCCAGATTTTCCTCTGACCCTGTTGCCCTGACAACAGTCCCCTGGCAGCGGTACACTGAATCAGGACACCTGAGTCCTGCTAATCAGCCATGTGAAATCTCTCGGATATTCCCCTTCCCCCATTACGTGGGTCCTAGTCGCTCCCCCCTTTCTTTCCCCCGGTTTTGGTTTGTCCCCATTTGGGACTCTGGCGTGTCGCGGCAGGGAGGGGCGCCGTGTGTGCGTGTCCAGTGGTGACGGAGTGAATCAGCCAGTGGGAGCAAACTGTGAAGCCATATTGAGCTTTGTCACTAGGAAGAAACAAAGAGCAGAGTTTAGGACAGTTACAGCGCCGGTCTGGGCTCCAGGCTGCTGTTCTTTATGCCATAGCAACAGTAATTAAAAATAAAAACGTATTCCTAATTTGGTTCCTGTATCATTAGAGCTTATTTGTATTGAAGTATAATTTTCCTTCTTCAGATATTAGCCGTATGTAAAGTGAAACAGGTTTTGCTTGTTAAAGTGAGTGATTCAGCTGTAGATCAGCCACCCTCAAATGCACATCATGGTTTAGGAGACAGCTTCCAAACTGAATCTACAAAAACCCACATCGCTGCTCAGAAAAGGAACTCTTCCAAAGACCCACAAAGAGGGAATTTCAAAACAAACACTCACTTTTTAGGATGTTTGTTTGATATGCCTCCCTCAGATTGCTGAAACCTCAAATTATGAGCCTTAAAGCAATCCAATGGAAGCAGAAATAGATTTCTTCATAATCGATATGAAGAAGAGGAGTGAATGTGGTTGTTTCAGTGTACATCTATGTATTTGATGTTGTTTTAGGACAGAATTAGAAAAACAGTGTGAAGCAGTGATAAAGGTTGATATGCGCAATAAAACTTTAACTTTACTTTGAGGATTTGAGCATTAATACTTCTATTGTACTCACATGAACACTGTGGATATGGAGCAACACTAGACATACTACTGAAGGGGTTACTGAAAATCAACTGTATGTGATATCGGACCATCTTTTCTTTCTTTTTTGTTTTTTTATTTCATTTGTTTAAATAGGGGGCAGGCAAATACAAGAATTTTTTTTCTTCTTGCTGCTCCTTTCCAATCATGGAGGTGTTGATTTGAAAATGTAGAGTGCATTTATGTACAAATTATGTTGTGTACCTTCATGAAAGGAACAAATAAATAAATAAATACTAGACAGTATTACTCCTTTATTTAAATTGTCAGAACCATATTCCTCTGAATTATGGTTAACATTGATTCATTTTTAGTAACAGCCACCATAAGCCCCACTGGACTCTTTGTAAGTCAACAGAATAACCACTTAGGACTCTTTTTGTGGACTTGATTTGTGTTTAATTTGCACATTTGCATGCAGCCAGTGTGTGTGTGTGTGTGTGTGTGTGTGTGTGTGTGTGTGTGTAACAAGCTCTCCATTTTTCTCTCTCTTCTGCAGATCCCACATTTGTCCACGCACACCTCATCCCAGACAGCGCCGAGAAGAATGATGACAAGCTCTACTTCTTCTTCCGCGAGAAAGCCTCTGAGATGGGCCAGAGTCCCATGACCCAGTCCAGGATAGGGCGGATCTGCCTGGTGAGTTATCACACCGGCCAGCAAACCTCACGTTGATCATCACCAGGGAAAAGGTTTATATGTCTCCCATAATGGTTAGTCATCGCCTGTTGCCTGTTTTAGTCTCTTTGAGGCCCAGAAAGGAAGTCCTCCGTGATCAGCAGTAATTGCTGAGCGCCAAACTCTAACACACACCAATTACCAGCTACAAAACAAAATATTTGCTGTTTGTCTCAGCAGCTGAATTTGGAGCACATCCTGTTATTTTTGCTCCTCTGGGAGAAACATTTGTGTGGCAGAGTTTATTTTTATCCACGTCTGTATACATGCATAGACATCCGTACAGACCCAGAACTGTGTGGAGTCACGGCTGTAGTGCTGTAGACGCACAAATGATGATGTCCACAACTTTCTAACCATCTGTATGTTTGCAAAAAATATTTCCCAGAACACTTGCATGCATCTCTTAAGCAGGTAATTCAAAACAAGGGCAATAAACAAGACCACAGTCGGCTTCAGCACAGCAGTGTTTAGAGCAAAATGCTACCATTAGCATGCTTACATGCTCAGAATAGGTGACTTTTTGGTGCAAGGTGGCAGCATTTGTTTTTTCAGGTTTGCAGGAATGGCCCTATGATCGACCCCTTCAGGCTTTTTGCTTTCATTTCCAGCGTAACAGCCTCAATAGCTCAGAGTGCGCCAAACAAAGACAGTCACAGTTATCAGACATAACTCCAGGTATTCAAGCTTGAAAGAATTATGTTAGCATGTATGGTGAATTTTACATCGTTGATGGCATTCGAGAGGAGAAGACTCCATCTTGACGAGGATGATAGGAAAAAATGGTCTAAAGCCACGTTTACACATAGCCGGGTCTTTACAAAAACGGATCTACATTTTTAGAATAACATCGTTCACACCAGATCATTAAAAACAAAAAAAATCTTCGTTTACACAAACCTGCATAAACATGTCGTTAAGAGCTGCTATGAGCTGCCAGACCTACAGAGGGCAGTGTAACGAGAAGCATAAAGCTATGCTAGCCAATCAGAATCCTGGAAAAAACACAACAATGAATGGCACAAGGGTCGTTTGTTTGGACCGACAGAGAAGCTCCTCCACATTGTTGAACTTTTCAGAATGTAAATGCAAACAGGCCAAAAGCACAAACATATAAACCAGCGCTGCTTCAACAGCATCCATTTCTGATGATTATGACAGAGGCCAAGCTGTAAGCATGGTCGCACACATGTGACGCTGGGACGTCCAACTCCATCTCCTCCTGTCTTCATGCAAACAGAAAGACGGAGTTCTTTAAAATCTCCACTGTGGCCAGAGTTTTCAGATATGATCGTTTTCGGTGACTTGTAGCTTTGTTTGTGTATAAACCAAATGCCCATTGAAATGTCACCGTTTTTGCTACGTGTAAACAGGACCTAAGTTGCCCACTCTAAATTTAACCAATCAGCTTTGTCTTCTCGGAGTTCAACCAATCAACCCAGGAGTTGTTGCAGTCAGAACAAAGGTTCAGATTGCATCCTACCCTTATAGCTCAGTTCATGTCCCATGAAGACACGAAGATAAAATAGACTTTTTTTAGAGACACGAAACATCTTTTACTCCAAACCGTCATCTGAAAGTGAGTTTAGTAGACATTTCCGATGATGCCACAGTTGGACCAACTGTCAGTCTGCAGATGTTTTATGTTTTGGAGTTTGTGTTTGCGCTGACAGCATGATATACGACGACGTGAAATGATGTTTGCACCATCACCGTCGTTTCTGGAAGATATTAAAACGCCCAAAATAGGTCAGCAAGAAACTCTGAAAACTAAGTTTAATGTTACATTATATAAAGATAGACACCGACTGTATTTTTCTTTCAGCCCCACAAATCACTTGGACTCCGTAAAATGTGTTGAGTCATCTTTCTTTACCTCCGTAGAAGAAGTTGGCTGACCTCTCGTGCAGACTGGCCAAGCTGCAAACACAGAGCTGATCTTTATTCATGCAGTAACAGCAGACCCAGCGCGCTCAGCTCTGCCAGTTGTTTCGAACAGCTGCGAGTCAGATTCTGGTCAGACTCGTCCCGCTGAGTGTTTTTTTGGAGCAGAGGGAGGATGACTACTGTGTGTCTCTGCCTTTACAGAACGACGACGGTGGACACTGCTGTCTGGTCAACAAGTGGAGCACATTTCTGAAGGCCCGCCTCATCTGCTCGGTGCCGGGAGCCGACGGCATCGAGACACACTTTGATGAACTAAGTGAGTTGAATTATTATTTCCCTTTTAAGATTCTCCTTCCATCGCTGACCCTCTCAGAGCATCTCTTGATAGCTCCTTTCATCTCTGGACATTATCCACCCCATCCCCTCTCCAGCTACGTCCCGTCTGCACCACCGCATTTACATTCTCAGCGTTTGTTATCCAAAAGTTTTCGAAACAGAACTTTCTCTCTCAGAAAGGACAAGTTATCTAAAATATGAAATGTGGCGTTTTAATGGATCCATTTCCATCTGCTCGGCGTCAGCGTAAAGCACAATAATGAATTTGTCTCACATAAAAGCTGCCAGATGGAAATGGAGAATTCTTAAATGACCGCGTAGCCACGAAAATCCAAAACAAGGGTCTTAGGATGGACTTGTGTTGACAGGCTCAGCATCAACAACGTTGTCGTCCGTAGAGTTCCCCTCACATTCGCTTTGCATAGTTTCACACTGATGCTAATCCACACACACACTCAGATTTTGCTGCAGTGTGTGTGTGTGTGTGTCAGCAGCTTACTGTAGTGAAAGGACACACATCCAGCAGCATTTCCAACAGCTCCTCTCATGTACAGCAACTCTGAGAAGAATCTCAAGGAAGCTGCAGCTTTAGATTAAGGTATCACTGACTCATACATGTTAATCTTGACATGTACATTCCTTTGAACAGCAACATGGCTCTTGTACAGTAGGTCCTGAAAAAGGTACCGTCTCTAATGCGAGACTCCGAGCTCCGTCAGCGCTTTAAAGATCAGTTTTATGTAAAAAAAAAAAAAAATACAAGAGATAGAAAAGCAAATGTACACACGCATACGGAGTAATCAGAGTAATGAGCAGCTGGGATCAGCGCAGCCCCCTGTGGATCATCCCGGCCTATCTGTCATTCACATGACTGACAGGATTAAGGAGGGATTTGTAGTACCCTTGGAATTGTAATGACAGGTGGTGTGAAATATTGTACGTAGACTTTGCACTAGTTTTTGCTCAGATTTTACTTTCACGAGAGAAGCAGTTTGCTCTTCATTGTTAAATCGACTAAAATGTACATCGAGTCCAGCTGACATCAAATTAACGACGTTCCATCACGTTCGAGGTTTGGCAGCAGCTTTTTAAAGAGATAGCATGAAATCAGTTCACAAAACGAACCTTCTGTGGAGCACCGTATGCGACACCGTTAGGGGAACTGCAGGATTTTTTGCCACATCATGGGAAAAGAAATTAAATGTTTGCTGACATTCGGTGAACAATTTGTTTAATATGTGTACAACATACTATTTTTCTTCATGCAAAAAAAATTATGATACATAATCAAAACTGCATTTCTAAAAATTAGCAAAACAGTAACTTCAGCTAATTATAATGATCTTAAATTATTCTAAATTTACATGATGAAATTACTATGAAAATATTATTTTATTCATTTATTTTATTTTAATTTATTTTATTATATCTTATTTTATTTAATTTAATTTATTATATTTATTTTTCATTGTTATTATTTTATTGAAACTGGTCGCTGCTACAAAATACATTTCACTGCACATTGTACCGTGTATAAATGTGTATGTGACAAATAAAGCTTATCTTGAATCTTGAATCTTGAAATGGGGTAAACTCAAACCCCAAAATCCAAGCTCAAACAAACAGCACTGATGAGGCAGACTGATGAAACATTTCCTCACAGTTAAGCTACACTTGATCCACAAAGACCCCAGTTGATGTTCAGCATCACCTTTCAAATACATTGAATCAGCAACAACATTAAAACCACCTGCCTGTTATTGTACAGGTCTCCCTCATGCAACAGCTCTGAGCTGTCCAGGTATTTACTCTGAAGGTGTTATCAGACACCAAGCAGCAGAACCCTAAAATCCTGTAAGTTGCGAGGTTACGCCTCCATGTATCGGACTGATGCCGGATCAAATTGGGATCTGGGGAACTTAGAGACTTTTTTTTCCATGTTCTTCAAGCTTGAACAAGTTTTGCAGTGTGGTAGTGCACATTAAAGAGGTATCAGGGAATACTGTTGCCATGCCGGGGTGCACGTGGTCAGCAGTAACGTTTAGGTAGACGGTACACGTCAAAGTAATATTCAAGTGAACGGTGGGTTGCAAAGGTTCCCAGCAAAGCTTTGTCCAGAGCATCACAATGCCTCCTCTGTCTTGATTTAATCCCATCGCGATCCTCGCAGCCATTTCTTCCCCACCTAAACGAAACGCAGGCACCCAGCTGTCCAGATGATGTAGATGTATTTTTAAAATCGGGCCGTTCTCTTTTATTACTCCATGGTTCTGCTCTCATGATTATATCCACCTTTTAGGCGCTCTCAGTGGTGGGTAGTTTGACCAGTCTGTAGCCTCACACACTAAGATTCTGACACCTTTCTATCATAGCAAGCATGAAAGTTTTCAACAATTTGTGAGTTCTGTAATGCCAGACCACAAGGGCCAGTCTGTACTGAACACACATCAACGGGCCTCTGATTCACCAGTTGTCCTTTTCTTAGTCACTGCACACTGGGAGCCCCGGATCCTCTGATAGTCATTATTCTGCTTCCCACACATCAGCTTCATAAACTGTTCACCTGCTGTCAGATATCTCCCCCCCGCTGACAGGTGCCGTTATAATGAGGTAATAAATGTTAATCGCTTCACCTGTCAGTGGTTTTAATGTTATGGCTCATCATGACGGTAATCTAAAACATTCCTCACAACGCTATGAGCTTCATCTATAGTCAAAACTCTTATTCATGCTGTAATGAGGCCTTACAGATGTTTGTTATGCATTAAGAGCACACAGAGCCTGCGACAGAGAAGCACTCGTGTCGGCGTCGCTGCACTTTTCGCGGTGCAGCAGGTCACTTGTCAGCACAGACGAACACTGGCGGTGAGGTCATCGTGAGTCCCGAGGCGCAGCATAACATCCCACAGCTCTGTGGTCGCTGCTCCCACAACCACAGACAGTCTGGTCTGCTGGTCTTGATGGAGCCCAGCAGAGGCTTCAGAGTGGTTGTACGGCCACTCGGGGGACAGACTCGAGTACATTCAGATGGTGAGGCGAACCGAAGAGTGTTTTTTTTCTGAGGGAGAGGAGGACCATAAAGGCTGAAAACACGAGACAGAGGCACAGGAGAGATGGAAATGTCTGCCAGACAAAAACGAGAATGAATTTGTGGGCCGTAAAGTTTTATTGCCGTTGTCTGAAATGTAATTATGCAGAGAACCATTGTTATTTTATTCAATTATATTTCGTGTCACCGTAGTCCACAAATCCCAAAATCTCTTTACAGTCACGAAGAGCTTGTCTGCTGTTTTTGCTCTCTGTTTGTTTTATTGATTTCCTTTGCAATTATTCCAACTGGACATTTCAGCAAAGGGGCACATCTCTCAGAATGCAGATCAAGGAGGTAATAATATACAATCTGTTGTCATTTGAAGGTGAGCGCATAATTCCCCGTCTCTTTTGGTTTTAGCTTTTCACAGCTTCTTATTTACGTGTCCTCTCTGTGTTTACGGCAATTAAAGATGTTTCTCCGCAAACGTGTTGCTGAAACGCCTAAAAGACTCCGTCTGATCCGACGCATCGCAAACAGAAGTGATGCAACTTGTTCCAGATCTCTGCTGATTTATTTCTTTTCTCCTTCGTTGTGCTCGTTCTGTAGCCAGGAGGTCTGTCAAACTGGCGTCAGATGGGTTATGAATTCCTACTTTGTTTGCCAGAAGTTAATTTTTGCTTTAGTGAGCAGCCATTACCTGTTATTTTCATACCTTGGCGTGTAAGGAGTTTTTTTTTTTTTTTGGTTTCCCCGAAAAGATGTCAAACTCATGATCAAAGGGGAGTCGGCTTGTTTTATAACTTTGGAGAAATGATGTTTTAATGCAAGCCGTGTGAATTCAAGCTTCCTCCTGTTTATCTAATGCTTACTAGACAAAGAACACGAGGATCAAATTGTGCCTCATTACATTTTACCTTCAGTTCTTGGTGCATAATTGCGCTTCTCAAGTTTATTCAGGTGACGTTTGAGAGATAAATCTGAGCAGGCGGTGTGTCAGATTAACGTCTTTTGCTTTTTAGCTTCACGGACAACTATGAAAAAGATCTCGGTTAATAAAAGAGAGGCTAGGATTTCATGTGTATTCACTGAAATCTGCGAGAAGACTTTTGACTGTGTAATTATTGTCCTCGGCCATTTCAAACAAGTGATCTTTTTACTAGTTTCCCAAAACATTAGATGGAACTGCGCGTTCAGTTGTGGCCGACGTGTTATTCTACTCAACATGTCTACTTTAAATTTATTTCAGTTGTCTTCCTTATTGTTTTTCCTTGCACTTTTCTCTCATTAAACCATCAGAGGGGGGTTCACGGTCGCCTCAGCCCCACAGTCACTGGATGCATATGGCTCCTATTAAAGTCATGTTTCACCAGAGATCTCTATTTCACTCATATTCCCTGCTGAGACGCTGTAACTGTAGTCTCAGCTTTGGAAGAGTTTGGATTCAGGATCTCGCTGAGACTCTGGTAACCACAATTCATGAGGAGCTCTCCCCCCTCTCTGAAGGAAGCAAAAAGTCTCCATATGTCACAATTAGGATTGCTCTGGGATGGAACCAGGTGGGATTGTAAAGTCTTGGGATCGTCAGTGGTATTTTTCTTTTCTTTTCGATGAGGGAATGCTTTCTGCTCTGTTAGTTTAATTTGAATATTTGTTCGAGGCCTAAAGAGGTCGATTCCAGGATTTCACAAGAACAGCAAACACTCAGACGTCAATATCAAGTTGTACCGATGTCCACCTGCTTTTTATGATTTATGACTGTGACTAATTAGCATCAATTCTGTCGTTTCCTATTAGGAGACGTGTACATCCAGCCCACTCAAGACACCAAGAACCCTGTCATCTACGGAGTCTTCTCAGTTTCGGGGTGAGTGATGTCTTTCTCCAACTCTCTAACTTTGACGCAGTTTGGATGAAAAGCGTCTTTCGGTTTTCCTCCTGCTGCACTTTTTATTCGTCTTCAGCGAGCCTGAAAGCGTCAGCTCGCTCTCATGTCGAGACGCTCCGTCGCGTTTGGCCCGTCACACTCAGGCTACAAAGACGAGACAGAAAAGTGAATCCGGAGCCCCGAAGGGAGTCGCGCTGCTCTGAGAGGCTGCCTGAGCCTATAGCTGCTTATAGGGCAGGTTTGATAGCAGCTTGTCAGTCAGCCGCAGAGTTTAAAATTCAACTCACACAATCTGAAGCCACAAGAGTAGGAAGAGCGGCGCACAACGTCATAATAAACTTGATTAATGTATTTGAGAAACAAACGCTGTTATTGTTTCCATCCACCCTGTAGGCATCGTTTAAAGCCAGCTGATAAAAACACATGCGGTGCTAATGATAGGGGCCCATGACAGGAGTTACAAACATAGTACACCCACCACACGGCAGCGAGAGCCTGTACTCTGGCGATTCTCTGCAGTACGTGGGTGTTTGTATGTCAGTGTGTCAGACAGCTTGACTCTACTCGAGTCGGTTTGAGAGCGCGTTTGTGCGTCACGGTGTTTCAGCGCGTCGCTGTGAGAGGCCGACTGAGTACGTGGGAAGGAAGTAGATTCTACCAGAGCACTCGCAGTAATTATCTCAGCGAGCGAGTTAATCTGAATCCCCGAGCTGCTGTCTCTGTGTGTTCACCCCCTTTCCTTTCATGCCCTCCTCCAGGTCTGTGTTTAAAGGCTCGGCCGTGTGCGTTTACTCCATGGCTGACATCCGCATGGTCTTCAACGGGCCGTTTGCCCACAAGGAAGGTCCCAACTACCAGTGGGTGGCGTACACTGGGAAGATCCCCTACCCTCGCCCTGGCACTGTGAGTTATAAAAAGAAAAAATCATAATAATTATTACTGTCAGTATGTTTTTACCACAGAGGAGTTTGGTCAATTGCACAAGAGCAGGTTTGAAATCCAAATCTCTAATTTGTCAACAGTGTCCTGGAGGCACTTTCACCCCCAACATGAAATCCACAAAGGACTACCCAGATGAGGTTATCAACTTCATGAGAAACCACCCTACCATGTACAACGCTGTGTACCCGGTGCACAAGCGCCCCCTGGTGGTCAGGACCAACGTCGACTACGAGTTCACCACAATTGCTGTGGACCAGGTGACGGCTGCTGACGGGAGCTACGAGGTGCTCTTCCTGGGGACAGGTGAGGGCTCTGAGGCCAACACAGGCTTTACATGAAGATTGGCAAGTCATTTAATGCTCATATGTAGTTTAAAGGGTTAAATGTAAGCCTTGTAGCCTTGACTGCCTGGAGGTTCACACACATGTTGGAACAATTTACCTTAAATGGGTCCAACTGTGGGATTTCTCAAAGTATTCCTCTGTTGAATATATTCATTTTATTATTATAAAGCTATTGTAGAGTAAAGGTGAATCAAGTCTAATGTTCCACTGCTCAAAACAGCAAACAGATCTGAGTGGCTTCTCTCTTGGGTCTTTCAGATCGAGGGACGGTCCAGAAAGTGATCGTCCTGCCGAGAGACGATTTACAAACGGAGGAGCTGGTGTTGGAGGAAGTGGAGGTTTTCAAGGTTAGTCCGGTGGTCTTAGTACCTCGGCTCCTTCCTGTTCATTTATATATACTGTGTTGGTTATCTGAAACTAAAAACAACACTTTCTACAGTCCTTGCCTTCTCATTTAAAGTTGTTCATAACTGCATTCCCTCAGGTTCCTACTTCAATCACGACTATGAAGATTTCATCCAAACGGGTGAGTTACTCTGAAGTGGATTAAACCAGAGTTCATAGGAAACGATAATTGTATTTGGTATTATATATCCAGTTTAATTCCTAACCTTTGTTTCTGTTAATAGCAACAACTGTACGTCGGATCCGTGTTGGGCGTGACCCACCTCGCCCTCCATCGCTGTGACGTGTACGGGGAGGTCTGTGCCGACTGCTGCCTGGCCCGGGACCCGTACTGCGCCTGGGACGGCAAATCCTGCTCCAGATACTCGGCCTCGCAGAAGAGGTGAGGATCATGATAGCATAGATGCATGGGGGCTGTCTGAGCATTCGTGTGGATTTCTTACTTTAGCGCGCAATATTTTTAAATATGTTGAAGTTAAGCTTTTTATTTTGGGTCTGTTGATCCGACCCCTCTAGGCGGAGCCGCCGACAGGATGTGAAGTATGGAAACCCGATCCGACAGTGCCGAGGTTATAACTCTAACAGTGAGTGTCGCTTTGTAGAGCATGATTTGTTTAGTCCTCATTTTTCTCACAAATAAAAATAATAAATATGCTTCACATGTTGTTTTGTAGCCAATAAGAACACTCTGGAGATGGTTCAGTACGGGGTGGAGGGCAGCACGACGTTTTTGGAGTGCCAGGCCAGGTCTCCTCACGTGTCTCTCAAGTGGCACCTGCAGAAGGAAAACAGCGACAGGAGGAAAGAGGTGAGATCTTACTGAGAAGCACTCACAGGCAGGTTTCTCCTTAAACACAGTCACTGAACAGATCCGGGGTTTGAGGCTAAGACCTTCAGGAGAAGGCAACTGGACTTCTGTTTTTAAAAAGGTGTTTCAACTCTCATCCAAGAGGCTTCTTCGGTTCTCACTGACTAATGTGGAGTCCAGACGTATATTGTCACCTCCGACTGACGTGGCTGAAGGCCCAAACACCACCCACAGGCCTCGAGGTGTGAATGGCTGTGAAACCGCCAGGTCAAAGATGACTCAAGATGTTAATCAGGGTGAAACTGTCTGGGGAGAGATGTCAAGACTGCATCATGAGTACCTGATAATTGGTGTCATAGACCCGTTCCTCTGCTCCGGTTTAACATAGATGGCTTCCTTCCCACCGCTCTCACACCAAGATCTCTGTCTTCTCTGGCCAGACTGTGATCATTGCTGTCATGAAAGGAGATGACCTTAGCCTTTAGATGCAGGCTGATTGCTGAGTGTTGTCTGAGGAACTGGCTCTACTGTGTTGGGTCATGTGCTTGGTCAGTCAGTTAGAGCTGAAAAGAGCTCTTGGATGAGAATCATCTTCAAGAACCAAAAACAAAAGTCCAGTTGCTGCTACTGAAGCGCCTAGGAATACAATGACCTGAATAACTGAGAATCTACACAGTCATGTAGCATGTTGAAGCATTTAAAGCCGTCCTCTTTGCTTTCCTTCCAGATTCGCTCAGAGGGCCGCATCCTGAAAACAGACCAAGGTCTTCTGATCCGCTCGCTGCAGTCCTCCGACAGCGGCATCTACCAGTGCACGTCCACAGAGAAGAACTTCAAGCACACTCTTGTGAAGCTGCAGCTCGTGGTCCTTTCCAGTCGCACAGTCAACAACGTGTTGGTGGAGACAGGCAGCCCCGCCCTCCCTCCTCTTCAGTCCAGCGCCTGGACTCCGAGTGCCGGTCAGTACAAGGACCTGCTGACCATCCTCAGCCAGCCGGAGATGGGGCTGATCAACCAGTACTGCCAGGACTACTGGCAGCTCGGAGACGGCGGCCTCGGGGACAACAAAGCCAAAAGCCTGAAGGAGCTGAAAGAGCAGAAGAAGCCTCGCAACCGCCGGCATCACGACGAGCAAACAGCTCCGGCCGAGACATGAGGAGCTGGACACAAACCCTGTCGTAGTGAAACGCCTCCCGTCTACCTTTTCACACAACCCCCTAAACACTGCAACCCCCCCATTTAGGGAAATGACTCCAGTCAGATGATCGATAAAATCTAATTATCATAAAGGACAATACAGACAGAAAGCAACAGCATCAAACAGTTTCTATGGAACTGTTGGGAAAAAATACACAATATTTATTGTAGGTTGTAAAAAGTAATTCTTTGTACCTATCTAGAAAACATGTTTTTTGTGAATAGATAAATCTGTGCAAATATTGTTGTTATTATAATATTATTGTTAGTGTTATTGTTTATTACGATGTGTTATTATGTTGAGAATATCTTTATGTTTGGTGTTTTTGAGAAACAGCAACGATAACCCGGGACACTGGGAGCATCCACACATGGACCAGGACCCATGAACACTCAGTACTCCGATACTGTCTGTGGCGACCATGTTGGATCATTTGACTGCTGGCAGTATTCAGTGTCTAAGCTGAAAGTGGAGTCAGGAAGTCCCTGACCTCCTCGAACTTCCCGAAACTTCTTCACCAGAACTATCTACTGTATATCGAACAGTATTTTTATTTTTTTTTTTAACTGCAAAATACAAGCTGTTGATAGACAGACGACAAAAATGGCATTTCACAGGACATGCAAAAGGATAAGAGAAATGCCCGCAGACTGTGACAACAAGTCACGGCTACACATGTGAACGAAAGCCAGGCGAGACGTCTTTCCTCTCGTGACGCGGTCCAGCCTGGCCTCCAGTGAAGATGTTACACCGCTCGCCCATATTCTTCCAAAATCCGTTGCTGCCAAGTGTTTGTTTTGTTTATATGTGAATATCACATCTCAATGTTGTATTCTTAACGGACGTGATCTTTGTGATAAGCTGTTTTTTGGGGAAAAGGGTCTTTCAACGACACAAAAGCTGAAAACATAACATTGCCTTCTCTTTTCTCTCTTTGGAGATAAGATATTCCAGCAGGCAGCTATATGTGAGTTTGTGACAGTTTGTGATAATAAAAAAATAAATAAAATATTAGACAAAAGCACCTTCTGTTGCCAAATTGGTGATTTGGATGCATAGTAAATACTTCACATGTATCTGTGGCATAGTATGCAGTGTATTCATATAAAGCAAAGCATGCAGTTTGTATGCTCAGATATTTTTCTTTTTGCTCTCAATGAATCCAAAGTTTGCATTCCTGCCATTTTCATGCTAAGGGGTGGGATCGGTATAGTCGAGTGTACTGATCCTCATGTTCTGGTGCTGTAACTACTGCATCAGCCGCAGGTCTTTCTCAGCCACCCTGCCATCATAATGTGCCACAGACTTCATATAAAACTACGGTTCTGAGCAACTTCAGTAAAACGACGTCACAGGTGCGACCACGAACAAGCTGATCACCGCGAAACCTGGAGAGAAAACTTTACCAAAATCTTCAGAAGGTGGCTTTTCATTGTGCATGGCATGTACAGTGTATGTATATGGTATTTGTTTAAAATGCTACGTTGCCGTGGATGTCAGTGAATGTCTTTCTTGTTGTGGGGATACGGAAATACTACCGGTGCAAGACACATGTGCTCACACCTTTTTACAGTGGGGAAAGGCCCGAATGGTATAATTGTGATTTTATTTTTCCTCTTGCTCTCTCTCTCTCTCACTCTGTCTTTCTCTCTCTCCCTCTCTCTGCCTCTTGTTTTTTTTCTTTTTTTTTTTTTTAAAGTAACTCACAATCTGCATATATTTCAAACATCTATTTTCTTCTCTCTGTTTGGCAGACTTTGCTCTGGGTCATTGAGGTAAAGTAATGTATGATATGCACAGTTGGTGTTATTGTAATGACTTGTAAAAAAATTACTATCTTTTCTTCCTCATCAATGTTGCTAACTAATAAATTAAAGCTCTATATTTTATAATAACACGTGTTTCTTCTGTTTGCAATTGGTCGGCACATGGTGTGATTTTAGTGATAGAAGCATTAAAATACTTTACGCAGTACAAATACTCCAAATCGTGAATCTACTCTTAGACAACTGGGTCTAGTGTGTGATAAAATATTACATATATGATGATAAAACAGGTAATATTACTTCACTGCTAATGTTAAAGTAGAATTTTACAGTTGTAATTGGTCAAAATGGATCTAATTTTAAATACTTTAATACACTTTATAGTATTTTAGTATTTTCTTTGATCGTCTAGTACAGTTAAGGAAAAGTACAGCATTCCCTCTGAAATGTAAGTGCAGTGTTTGAATAAAGGCTTACGTTCCTCTACTTTTGATCTTCACAGCAGTGACTCAGGAGTTTTATCACCGTCAGCTCCTCAAAAGAGCACGATGCTGTGATGATAAACTAAATTCACAGAGTGCTTTTCTACACACAAGTGATGCACATTGCTAAAGCACATAAAGGATAAAACAAGTTACTGAATGTGTAGAAAAATGTAGTTCACTGATCACACACAAACAGCCTGCAGATGCATGTGCACATAACCGACAGTGAGTGGATTAGGATCCTTAACCAGCTTCAGATTGAGGTCAATGAGATCTGTCGGGTGAAACCGCAAAGCTCTTTAAGCACTTCGGGGCTCACCCTTCAGCCCGCAGTGTCCAATGAGAAGTACGTCTTTCTTCATGTTTGGACCGGAAGCTGAGTTGTGTAGTAGCTGACTGCTGTGTTGTGTGGCCTGTTTTGGAGGGTTTGTTTGTTTAAATACAGATTGCTAAGCTGTTGGAGTCTCACCAGCCTCCTTGGACACACCAAAACATACAAGACCACACTCATTCCCACATCTGATTCAATTTCCATCCTGGGCCTGGGGTGGAATGAATTTAGTTTGGGGGTAACCACGTCCCCAGCTGTGGTAAACACCCAAACTGTTCAGCTTTACGTGCTTCTCTTTTCAAGGCCCCTAAGAACAGCATAGAGAGATAAGCACTTGAGCCGATGTTCATCTTCCGCTGAGCGCAGCAAAGTCCCCCTAAAGGTTAGCTCACTCCTCCACTGATGTAGGTCTGCTTCCATTCGCACCTTTGGCTCTGCCCTAAAACACTTCTGTCCTTGCGCTCCATTGGCCACCGTCGGTCAGGTGGCCAGAGGGTGCCCAAAATCCATTCCTAAGTCAGGAAAACGCTCAACCAGTTCTCCAGTGTGTGCTGCAGGCAGTTGACGCGTCGGCTGCACCGGTTGATTGGCGAGTAGCTAGGACCTGCTTCCATTTTTCCTGACATTTGGCTTTTGAGCAGAGGGGGCCCAAGCCGGGAAAAGTAGGATGGGGGCTGGAGCTAGCGCTGAGGAGAAACGCTCCAGAGAGCTGGAGAAGAAGCTGAAGGAGGATGCCGACAAGGATGCAAGAACTGTCAAGCTGCTGCTGCTAGGTAAAGACAGACGGGTCGACTCGGTGGGAACCCAGGAACCCAAATGACTAAGATGCATTGCCAGGAATCATTTACACAGTCATCATCTGGCTGCACATATTTAAGGGGCCATAGAAGATGATGACACTACTTTTTTGACACTGCTTTTTATTCTAATTTAAATGTAGGAGATGCATAACCTCATCTATTTATAGCATGTTTTGTATAAAAACTGGTGGGTGAAAAGACAACCCATATGTAAAAATGTTAATTTATGTTAAGTAATGATGCAGTAAGATGTTGTTTACGGAGGTACAGGGATTGCTACGTTGGACTTTATTGATCTGAATAAGCTTGAAAAACCTGATTGTAACAGCTGTAACGATGATGAAACAAAGCAACATGTTTGAGCCGAGTAAAGGCTTAATAACCTGTGTTATTGAACCGCTAAGACACTTTGATAATCACTCAAGCCGATCCTCTGATAATCCTGAAACAACAGGTCCTCCAGCACAAAGGGCTTAACCATGAAGGACACAAACCCAAACAGAGCCTCCAGTAGCACAACCTGAATATACTGCAGTGTGGTGTTCAATGAATGAGCAGAAAAATGATGATGTCTGGGAAGATTCTTTGCCTAAGTTTGGTTTAGCTTTTCGTTTTTAATTTTAATTTCTTTACCCTGAATAATATAACAATATTGAATCTAATCTAATAATTAGCTGCCAAATAGAAGTTTACATCCATGTTCGGTTGTTACAGATGTTTCTTCATACTGTGCTTCATCATCTCCTCCTGACAATGTAGGTCAGGGGCAAGAAAAAAAAGATTAGCCCTGAAGTAAGAAGTATTATGACCTGTTGGGATCCTCAGTCTAATGACTGCATGTATTCGTACAAGTTACTGAAACCCAAGACAACAACAAAAAAAAGATTATTTTTATGTTTACATAACATATTTCTCTAAATCCTGGAAAACTGACCATTTTACACAAAATTTCTAATAACAGCTAAGTCCTATCTTATCAAACAGATTAATTAATTATGTTTTTTTTTTTAATCTCTTATAGGTGCTGGAGAATCAGGCAAAAGTACTATCGTCAAACAGATGAAGTAAGATATTTGACTTTGCATCCAAGCAGTGCCTCATTTCTTCATGACTGGAATGTGAATTGCATCGTAATACTGTGTTTTCTCATCAGAATTATCCACAAAGATGGTTACTCGCTTGAAGAGTGCTTGGAGTTCATCACCATCATCTACAGCAACACCCTGCAGTCCATCATGGCCATCGTGAAGGCCATGAACACACTCAATATCAACTATGGCCACTCTGATCAGCAGGTAATGACAAGTACTTCCACATCATTAGGTGACACTGATTCCAGACAAACATGACTTATATGTGTGCTTGTCCTGTTGGATCCTCCCTGCAGGACGATGCCAGGAAACTCATGCATCTTGCGGACACCATCGAGGAAGGCACCATGCCCAAAGAGATGTCAGACATCATCTTGCGCCTGTGGAAGGATTCTGGCATACAGGCCTGCTTCGACAGGGCCTCAGAGTACCAACTCAACGATTCCGCCGGATAGTAAGAAATCTCATCGGATGATATTTAAAATTGTTTGTTTTATCGGTATTTGTCACTGACTGACGTTGACTTTCCAACAGCTACCTGAATGACCTGGAGCGACTGATCCAGCCAGGCTACGTGCCCACTGAGCAGGATGTGCTGCGATCAAGAGTGAAGACCACCGGTATCATCGAGACCCAGTTCTCCTTCAAAGATCTCAACTTCAGGTGTGGCGGTGCACTGTTTCCGAAGAGGATAGCACAGACTCATCATTATCCAGACCTCTGCAATCATTAAAGAAAATCTGCTTCTATTTCCATGCAGAATGTTCGATGTGGGTGGCCAGAGGTCAGAGAGGAAGAAGTGGATCCACTGTTTCGAAGGTGTGACCTGTATCATCTTCATTGCTGCTTTGAGCGCCTACGACATGGTGCTGGTGGAGGATGATGAAGTGGTATGATTAGCCATAGTACACACTCTTTACAATTGGTGTCTTGTTGGGTAATCTACAATCGGTTCGATTAAATGCTCGTAACAGGAATCTGAATGCGACTTTTCTTTCAGAACCGAATGCACGAGAGTCTGCACTTGTTCAACAGTATCTGCAACCACCGCTACTTCGCCACCACCTCCATCGTACTCTTCCTCAACAAGAAAGACGTGTTCGTCGAGAAGATCAAGAAAGCTCATCTCAGCATGTGCTTCCCTGAATACGATGGTGAGAACATCACTGTGAATAGGTTATAACACATTCTCAGGCTTAGGAAACTGAATTAAGTTAAACTTTACCTTGATGTCGCCCTGTCCAGGTCCCAACACCTACGAGGATGCTGGTAACTACATCAAAATGCAGTTCTTGGACCTGAACCTGCGCCGAGACGTCAAAGAAATCTACTCTCACATGACCTGTGCCACAGACACAGAGAACGTCAAGTTTGTGTTTGATGCCGTAACCGACATCATCATCAAAGAAAACCTGAAAGACTGTGGTCTCTTCTAAGAGCCACACTGAGGATCAAGGTGAGAAAAGTTGACAAGCTGCTGTAATGATACTTGAAACTAACCGTGGGACTCACCTAACCAGCGTGATTCTGTGTTTGCAGGGTGCTGTGGTCGCCCTGTCACCTTCCACAAACCTCCTCTCGATTCAAACTGAGGACTGAAGATGAAAACTGCCCCCTCGAACAGCCATCCTCAAACCAACGAGAAATAAAATCAATTTGTTGTATTCCAAACTAAGTTGTAGCTTTGACCGAAGACTCCTCGTCAACTGATACTAGAAGACTTTTGTCAGAAAACTCTGTGCAGATGAGTTGAATTTTAGTCAAGCTAACTTTTCTCTGAGTCTCTCGAACTCGTCTTTGGAGGGTCGCGCGATCTGTAGTTAAGACATCAAAAGCTTCCATCAGCATAAAGCGATTTCTTCTCACATAATGTGAATAGATGTCCGGCTAATGCATTGTCTCTTTGCTCCAGTAAGTGATCAGTATACGGCCGAAGAGCAAACAAGATGGCCTCACCACCTGCATACGCACTTCAGCCTCTGTTAGAGATTTAAACTGAACTCGTCACTAGAAACGGCTTTTATGTTCAAGACACTTAAAACAATTCAAGCAGGTCACAGATTGAAAAATCTGTGTTAGAAAATTGTAGTTGATAAGGGCCAGTGTACATAACTAAACAGATTTCTATTGGACAGTTCATGAAGCATTGTGTTGATCTGTAACACTGCTGATTGGTAGATGTATTAAAAAAATCATCGTCTTAAAAGTAAAACTTTAGGCCTTCGAGCCGACCATCCTGTACAGAAAGCAATAATTGTACATCTTGATTTGACTTAGTAAAGCTTCTGTAGAAAACTCACGTCATTTTTTTTCCATTTTTTCACATATTAAAAGCAACATAGCAACATCTTGTCCGCCATCTGTCATTTATTGATTTCACAGAACAGTTCAGGTTCCTTTAAAGCGTTGAAACCTGTTTAGGATGAAACACATTTGGGTTTACATGCTGAATAAAGTTCTGCATTTTGGTAATTCTTGCAGAGTTGGACGATCAGATAGATGCACCATAAATATGAAGCTACTTTCAGCACATGTAAATATCATAAACCATCACGGTACATCTTGTGAAGTGACAACGCAATGTTTTGAGATGTTGGTTTTTCACAGATTAAACAAAATTATGACCAGAGCCAAGCAAACTGTTCCCCATTTCCAGTCTTTGTGCACACGCTAACCCAAGGTAAGTGGCTGCTAGAAGTAGCTTTGTATCATAGACTGTATAAAAAATGGACGGAGCAACCGGCCCTGAAAAATGAAGCCAACCCGGAAGTGTCAAAAACCTGCGTCGCTAGCTGCTGGCTCCAAAAAGCCCTGGCTCCCATAGACTTGAATTGGAAAAGAAGTGATCACAGATCACCAAATACTGCATTCCTACAGCTCAGGATTTTTTTCTTATTAGTTTTCATGGTCAAATCCAGAGATCAGGTGGCCAATCTGAAAATGAATAAATACAGAATTTTTAAAAAATCGTCAACATTTTGCGGGGCAAGGGGCGTGGCTGGCTTGATTGACAGTCCGTAGCGACCATACAGACGAAGCGAACAGAAGGCGGTAAATGTGGGCCGACAGAGAGGGCCCGCCTCTCAATCCGTCTGACCAATCGCTGCTCCTATAGCTCCGCCCCACTCCGACAATTTTTGCATCACTGGTTCCAAAAATCCAAGATGTCAACCAGGAAGTAGCAAAACCCTGGCTTCATTTTCTCAGTGCAGAAACCAACGGGTGACGTCACGGTAGCTACGTCCATCTTTTATACAGTCTATGCTTTGTATACAGTGTAGTGTCTCAGCAAATTTGCAGCATGAGATCAGCTCCTCAGCAATTCATTTTGAAACTGTTTTCTAAAAAGCACCATGCTTTCAAGATCCATGAATGAGCATGCGAGAGCCTTCCAACTCAGCTTGCATTCAGCACAGAATGAAAAAAAAAAAAAACCTTCAAAAATAGGAATCTAAAACAAACAAACAAATGAACAGAAATCATCACTCAGTCCTGGTTTACTGTGAAAAGCAGGGTTCACCTGGACAAAGCAGTCCATCACAGGGCAAACACTGAGACACTGACCAGCAAGCACACTCACACCAGGCAGATTTCACAACATGGTTCTGAGCTTATCATGCCACAAGTTGGAGAATGTTGTCTGATTCTATCTGGGATGAATGTGCAGCATTACTGATATCAGGCAGGAGGAAACACTTTAGGGAAAATATCTCAACTGCATTTTTTATAAAAGATATAGTGATGGTGGTGTGGTTTGTGACATAAGCTTTTAAAGTCAAGCTTCTGTCCAATATTCCCTGTTTAGCAGGTTTAACATGCGATGGATCATTAAAACATAAAATGTCGTCAAAAACACGACTGTCACACAAAAAAGGAAGGTTTTGTGAAACCATTGATATGGCAATTTAAACTACAATTCAGACACAATGCATGTGATACATCATAAAAATGTTTTTGCATAAAAATGCTGGATGTATGTTTGTAGAAACAACCAGACATCACCATCCAGCTGGAGGGAACAAATCTCATTGGCTGACTGTGACAGCATGTGAAATTTAAAATGATTATGAATGCTTTATCATAAAACAGCAGCTCCACCGAAAAGAAATATTCAGTTTTCTTTTATTGACACATTTTGACCATGATGTGAAATCTAAACTTGATCACCATTTTAGCTCCATTCATGATGGTGGAAGAGTGAAGCAGCCATTTCTTGACATGTGCTGGTGAAGTTTATGATGCTGATCCAGAACTTTCCCACATTTTCGATTAAGATACTTTGCATATATGTCACTGAAATAACAGAAATTGATTTGGTTTCAATAGATGCTACTTTCTCAACATGTGATGCCTGCTCATTGCACTTTACAATGTGTTTCTCATTCACCCATTCACACACATTCTTACACCAATGGTGACAGAGCTGCCATGCAAGGTGCTGCCTGCCATTGGGAGCAACTTTGGGTTCAGTGTCTTGCCCAACGACGCTTCGACTGTGGAGGGGCAGGGGATCGAACCACCACCTGAGCCACAGCCGCCCTCCTACTGCAGGAGAGAAAGCTAGAGTTGAGTTTCAAATTTTCTACTTCGACTCCCCAGACTCCCCAGACGTTAAACCGTGTCTCATCAGGGCAAAGGTCTGGATGTACTGTCCCTCAGCAGCTCTGTGAGTGACTTTCCTCTGGTTTCCCACACTCTGTCCTTTCACTGCTGTCATCAGACCAACAATAGAAGTGTGTCTGATTAGAGACGACGTCTGACGTCGTTGGAGAAAAAACTGGTTGAAGTTACATTTTTACAATGAGTGTCTCCTAAAATAATGTTGCAGCATAAGTTGAAATGTAAGTTTTTTTTCATTTGGTTAAATAGTTTGATCTGCTACATTTATATGAAGTGCCATAAATATGAATACAACAGCATCAAACATCTGAACTGATTGCTGTACTTGGCTGAGCTACGGATCTGCAGCTGATTTTATTGACAGTTTGGTTTGTCGAGTAAAACGTGTGGGAAAATGTGTGTTAAATATTTAGCATTATGCGACACATAATGACCTTAATAATCGGTCTTTGTTTTGAAGACTCTTTAGTTTCTGTTGGACAGTGTAGTCCAGATTTGAGCAGTTTATAAGTAAAGGTTTTAGAACTAGACCAGGTGTAATGTGGGAAAAAAAGCAGTGAAATCTTTTTTTTTTTTTTTGCATTTTCACAAACAGAACAAAGGTTGCTCAATTTGAAAGTGGGTTTTAGACAGCATTAAAGGTTGACCTAAAACAGGGATCCACACCAATAAAACATTTCAACTGTCACAGTTTGCATCACCCAGCAGAGATTCTAGGAAATAGACGTTGAACACAGCTCACATCTACCCTCAACATTAAAAATAGACTTCAGCAGAGCTCTTGTCCTGGATTTCAATGGAGTCCACAGAGGTCACCAGACTGAGATCCAAGTAAGAGGCTCTAATATTTGGTTTCAGAAGAAGCATGTAACTAAATCAGGATCATAGAATAAGACACAGTACCTGAAAGATTTGACACAATAAATAGAAATGCTGGCTTCGGCCGGCAGAGGGCGCCATACTACTGAGAAAAACAAAACTGCAGACAGGGCTCAGAGGGGAGGTTATGGACACATGCAATTAACTTGACATTTTTACATTTCTAACTCAAGTTTTAGTATTTTTAGTTCCCAAACTGGGGTCAAAGGAATCGGTTTCATTTCCTATGTGAGTAAAACTGAGTATTTTCAGCCAAGGAAGATAATTATTAAAACTCAGATTTTTTCAAGCTTAATAAGGCTGCATTACATAATTTGTTTATTCATCTGGTGAGGATGTGGATGTATAGCTGGTGCAACTCAATAATTGTTGCTTCTTATTTCCTGTAAGACTGAGTATTGGCAGGACAACAACAAATGTGATGCCTGCTGTTCTCTGGAGGAGCTTGAAAGCTGGTGTTTGGGGGCTTTGACACTAAATATCACAGTTTGATTATCTATCAGAATCTATGTTCACACAGCCTTCTTCAGCGTACGGTGAGGTTCTAACAATAAAAACTGTGAATAACTAGTTGGTGTTCTCTGATCAGTCTGGTTAAAGAGGAAAGCTTTGTTTATGTAATGTGGCGCCCTCTGCTGTCCATCAACCAACATCGCTCTCATGTGTTATCTGGTTATAACTAAAGCATAGAGTTTGTTTCACGAGTTAAAGAATCAAACTGCGAGTTAAGGCTTTTCTAGTAAAAAAAAAACAAACAAAAAAACAAGCTCTGAGATTGACCAACAAAGTAGGTTTATGGTAGATGGGTGGGTGGGTTGCTGGTTCCACATTCACTAGACAATTCATTTTTACATTATTAGTCGTTCTGCAAAAAAAATAAAATAAAAAAAAAGTTCCTCTCTGAAACCCCAAGAGGTGAAATTATATGATATCATAT